TGCATTATCCAGCAAAAAAGATAATGGATGGAAAAAAAAAGGTGAAAGGGGAAAAGAAAAGATAAGCCAGCATTTCAAAGCTTTATGGTTTTTGTTTGTTTGTTTGTTTAATATATATGTGTATTTTTCACAAGTGGTCTGCTAGTGTTTGCCTGCAGAAGGTGGTGCCCATGGAAGATCCCTGCCTTTTTACAGGTGGATAAGCACTGCACAACAAATAGCTTGGCTCAGCCTCAGCAGCAAGTCCTTGTGGATACAGCTTTCAGCCCATCCGTAGCTGTTAACTGAAAGCTTCACTGACGCCCAGGGTCTTTGTACTGTGATTTGTTGGGGAGGAGCTGATTCAACCTGAATCAAGCCAATCTCTCATTTGACTTCTCTGGTGCTTCACACAAGTAGATGTAGCTACTGAGTCTGCACCAACACCTCTTCCCACCTACCTCTTCTGCTCCAGACTGGGACACGTTGCTGACCAGTCTTGCTCTGCCTGTGAAGCCCTTTGCTCCCCAGGAGCTGGCGATTTCCTGCTGAACAGATACTTCTCCAGAGCATCTCCAGTCCTTCAGCCTTCTGCCTCAAGTAAAAGTACTGAGCATTCATATCACTGCCCTTTTAAGAAGGGAGGAAAGGAAGAAAGAATCATATTCTGGGCAAACTGAATTGAATCAATGAGGGTGAAACTTAGTTATCTTTGCAGAGCAGTAGTCTAATGGCATTGCTTTTGTATGTCATTACAGCAATTAAAGGGTCACCATGAACAGCTCCTCTCTCATTTTTGAAACCTCCACCTTATAGACCCATGGCACTAAATGCAGAAGTTTCTTTTCCAAGTCAAAACAAACACAGGGTCTGGCTTTCTGCTCCTGGCAATCAACATTGCTCCAGTGACCTCCATTGACCTGGCTTGTCCCAGACAGTGTCCTCACTCACCCCTCTTCTCATTTCAAGTGCAAGGGAGGAGGTCCCTTATTTTTATCACACTTCTCCAAATTGAAAGGTGCCTCTGAGCTAGGCAACCAACATCGGAGCCAGGTTTATGCCTAGGAAACTATGACTAAAGAAGCAATAAAACTAATTTGTCACCCCTGGATATGCAGTTTAGTACAGTCCTGTCACCTTTATCTACAGCCATGGGGATATTTCTTTATTTGTAGGGAGTTTGCATTCAAAACTCTGCCTGTAACCCCCCATTAGATAAACACGATGTGATCCAGAAGTGAGAAATGGGAGATTTGTTTTGCATGAAGCTTTCTAGACAAAGCAGCTTCATTTAATTTGATTTGGATTTTGTTTTTAATTCCCTCTTTTGCCCTTTGCTGTTGTCACAGCTCCCTCTCTAATAAATAACTGGTCCACATCACTAAACCGCTGCACATAACTCAGAGCAATTTGTTACTGTTGGCAATGTCTACAGCGGGGGCCCAGGAACAGACCAGCATGGAAGCAGCATTACCTCCCACTCTTCAGGAGCATGATTTCTGCCTGATTACAGAAGGGGTCATTGGTAGGACAATGCAGAGAAGGCCATATACAATTGCCTGTGCTCGAGTCATATATGCCGCATGGTCCTTGCATGAGCTACTTCAGATCCACCCAGGAGTATCTGTCAGGAGAAATCAGTCCCGTGATATCAACACCGCAAATGTGGCAGAAAGTTACAATTAATATGTATCCGTGTACTATCAAAATGTCTGAGCATTTTACACAGCCCTGGGCCCAGAGGATAGCTCAAAGTACAGAAATTCCTCTACAAACAATGATATAATAAATCCACTAGGTCTAAGGTCCTTCCAAAAGTAAGACAATGAACATAGCCTCCAAATATTCGGTGAGGCTGTAACATTAGAAGCCATGTATGGTTTTAAAAAGAGATGGGAACGGATTATGCATGCGTTTTCCCTTGTTTCCCCTTCTGGTTGTCCTTCATGAACACTGGGGAGTGCAAAGAAGGCAGCAGCCTACACCTTCCCATGGCGTAGTCAGTTTGCTGGTGGCAACCATATAATAATAAGCTGGGAATCAAGCTGCAAAGAAAGGGATTTTTAGGGTCCTGGCTGGAAAAGAATTGCTCATCTGTACTCTGCCTTCAACAAGGATGAAGGGTTAGCTAAGGATATGTGGGACTATGCATATGGAGCACCTGCTTTTCTTCTTCCCATGAGGCTCGTGAGAACTGAGGGGGAAAGCATGGCAGCTCCTGGCTTTGGGGAAAAAAATTCATTCTGGTACCTGACAGTTGCTCCGTCTCAGTAGGGTCTTTCTCAGCTTCCCTTTGTCTACACACTTGTGAAAATAGAGTCTCTATGATGCCTTTCTTCTCATGGCCACCTTACTTGAGAGCCTAGCTTAACACCTTTGGGATGGAAACACATGGAGTCAAGAAGCAGAGGGAACATGATTTTTCTACACACTCCTGTCTCTCATTGCCAATTAGCTGGTCTCTGTGGCTGTTGGTAACTAAGCCTGGAAACCTTGAGGCTCGATGAAAGAGCATCAAGTGGAGGGCAAAAATAAGTCAACAGAGCAACTGGAGGGCAACTGTGGCTTACCCGGACTGTAGCATCCAACTCAGCAGCACCATGTGCCAGTGCTTTTAAATTTCAAAGTTGTCTTATTTGTTTCTGTGGGGATTTAGGGAGAAGTTTGTTATTTGCCATTGCTTTTGTGGTTTTGTTTTGCTTTTTAACAAAACACCTTTAGAAAGAGTACGCTTTCCAAGAAGGCATTGTTTAAGGTAATAATAGAAGGGGGAAATGGAAGATGTGGGGGAAGGCAAAGGAGAACCTCCTTGGTTGTTGTTTGAACTAAATCGCTGGGTTTAGAGTGTGTGATGGGTAAAATACTGGGTGTGATGGGTTGAAAAAGAGATAGCTTCCTGGAATTTTTCAGACACACTTAATCGAATACATTTATTCTGGGGAAAAAAAAAAATCCTCTTTTTTTTTTTTTTATCTTTAAATGTTATTTTGTCATTTAAGCCCATGGAAGAGCCAAGTAAGGCAGAATGCCAAACTTCCAGAGCTGTCAAGCACAGAGTGGAAAGGTCTAGCAAAGGTCTGTGGCAGATCTGGATACAGCCACAGTCACACTGATGATCAAAATAAAGGCCATGATGGCCATTTTCCCAAGAGAGGCTGGTATTAAACTAAAATTACTTGTTTTACTTGCTTTGCTCACATTTGTGTCATCTTTTGGGGCAAAAGAGTGAATGGAGGCAGCCTGCGGTGATAGCTAACTTTGCAAGATGGTGGCATTCACCTCATTTTGGACGTTTCGAAAAACACTGGATACCTGAAAGATTATGTGAAGGAAGGATTTTGTGGGGTATCTTTCTACAGCTGTAATAACATTGAGCCTCTGCATAGTCCCACAGAAATAAAGGAGCTACTCACACATTGAGGGTCAGGCACAACTACTTGTCTTGCTGGATCAGGACCAAATCTCTCCAAAACAGAAAAAAACTCCACCACCAATTCTCATGTGATTTCCAGTATTTCCCGTTTCAAGGTGGGCTACAAATCTTGCCTGACCATTTGATGATGCTACACCTTGCAAGCCTATACTCATCAGACCCAGAAATGAAAGTCATTCCTTAAAAAGGAAAATCATTCATGTGGGCTATCTATGCACATTCAAACTCCAAGTTTCAGTGTAAGGTTGGTTCAGGTTTGGGCATACAGATTAACTCTGCGTACTCACTTATTTTTAAGCTATATTCATTTGCCTCCTGTTAACATGCTTTCTGGCACGCTTATCCTTCATCACTCTTTCCCAGCATTTCCAGACCTGCTAAATCCACACCTTTTCCCATACTTATTTCTCTGGAATGAACAAGCCCCTCCTCCTGCCTCCCCCTTATCTCTGTGTAACATCCATCACTGTATCAGCACCTGTCTGAGCAGCACAAGGGAAGGGTCAAGGTATTATTTCCTACCCTTGACAGGTGTTATAACAACACCAAACCACCCCAACTTATAAAAGTTTCCATTCTGCAGGCTGCAGTGCGTACTTTTCTTCCGGCTACTCCATCCTCCCTGGAGGCTTCTCAGCTCTGCTAGTGCCAAGGCAAAAAGCCAGTCATGCTTCCGCAAATGCAAAAGTGAAAGACAGACTTTCCCCTTGTTGCACAGCTTCGAGAAGAGCCACTGTGCATGGGTCTCCTGCCATGGCCAAGGCTGGCATTCCTCACTCTTTTCTCCTGCCCCCTGTGGAGGAGTACATGCACACAGTCGTATCTTCGGTGCTTTCACAATCCCATGGCACTCTCTTTCCAGTAAAGCGAGAGCAGTTTAAGGAATGAAGGACCTGTTAAAGCCGTGCAGCGTGTGAGCAATGTGAAATATTTGGAGGCTGGATTCTCAGCCTTGTAAAAGTTACGCACCTAGGTAAGCTAGCTGCCTGTTTTATGGGGAAATCCCATACGGGCAACCCTGTAAGGTCGCCTGTTTCATCCTAGTATAGGAGTCCAGGCTTAAATAGGTTAAATCCATCCCTGCCATTAAATCTCTCTCACCAGCAATTATCTTGGGCAATTAGCTGAAATTAACCATCTAACTTTCAGTTAAGTGGGGTGAATCCCTCGGGTCCCAGCTTCTTAGCTGTAGCTTAACATTTCCTGCCTTTTACAAGGCAGGAATTTGCTTGGAGTTCAGCGAGGCGATGCAGTAGGCGGCTCAGTTCGTCCAAAGGGGGAGGTTTGCTCCTTGGAGAAACTTTGTTTTTTGGCACCCCCACTCCACCCTGTGTGCACCCTTCCCTCTAGCAGTGGCATATTCCATCTTTAGGCAAATCAGGCAATTACTGCTGAGCACACCATTGTCCAGGACACAAGCATCATGCCTGCTCTTCCCCAAGTCCCTCCAGAAAATGCCAGGAAATTTGTATAGGCAGATAACTGCATGGGGAGAGGGCATAAGAGAAGGAAGGCTGCAGGGAAGAAGAGAAACTTTAAAACAAAACAAAACAAAACAAATTTATTTATTTATTTATTTCACCAAGAAACACTGTGCTGAAGGAGTAACCACATCTTGCCCCCAGTTGCTGATAACCATTGACGAGAACTGGCAGCCTTCCAGCCTCAGATGCCCCCGAAAGTTTCCAGACTCACTGGACGTGTGCAGAAGTAGATCGATAACACTTCTGGCATCCTGAGGCTGTCAAGCCAGCACAGAGGACCACAGCACAGCACCGATCATTATTTCCACTCTTCACTTGGACTCCTGCAAGCTGAGAGGTTGAATTTCCCTGTGATTGTGAATAGGAGACATTACTGCAACCTTTGTCTGCCAGAGGAATCCCCCAAGCAGAGAAATCCTTGCAAAGACTGCCTTTTCTTTGTCTAATCCATTCCTTAATTATGATTAATTGTTTATCTTAGTTTGGCTATAAATCATAAAGCATGCTCAGGGATTTATCCAGCAGAGATGAGCACAGCCCCTGAGCTGACACACCGCTGGCGCTGAGTCTCCTGATCTACCAGCAAAAGTGCTCTCAGTAAAACATAGAAAAAAAAAGAAACTGCAAAAACAAAAGCGAGAAATAAAATAATACCCTACACAGAGGATAAAGAAAAGGCTAAAGTCAGCATTTTATCTGATAGTCCATCTTCAGGAAACGTCTGTGAAAACAGCTTTGGAAAGTAAGAGCTGATCTGGCTGCAGATATTCCTTGAAATGAAAAAGGTGAAAAACCCTGGTGCCATTTTTTTAAAAAGAAAACAAAATAGTTCTAATGAAAAGAAAAGCATTTTGACACCCAGTGAAAGGCAGAGCGCCTGATTAAGGGTAAAGTATTAGAAGATACAAAGCTGCTCGCAGAAGGGTTCGTGTACTTGTAAGAGCAAAAGGAAATCGTTCTGAATTAAAAATGAGTGAAAGAAAAGGGATAGACAAACACAGAAGAGGCTGGCACAGTGATGAAGTGTTTATCTAGCTAGGCTCTCCCTGAATCTCTGAGTGCCATCATCACGGTTTTCCTCATTCTTGTAATTTTTAGTTCCTTTTTTTTTTTTTTTTTAACTGACAGGCAATCATACCCACAAAAATCTCCACACTGCTTAGCTTTGCTGCATACCTTCCCCTCTCCGCTCACTCAGCACGCTTTCTGCAGGAGAAAGAACAAGACAGCAAGCTGACAGGTGTCACACTCCCATTAAAGACAAGAAATACAGCAGCAAAGGTATTTCTAACACCCTGGCTAATGACCCCAGTTAAGAAAGGCATCGTAGCTATTGCTCCTAAAAGCAAGCTCCCCTTCTCTCCTCATGTTCAGGTTCACATTCATGTTCAAAACGCACATACCTCCTGCTACATCAGTGGAATTAATCTCACCGGTGCCAGCATCTTCTCCTGGGGACAGGATTGGAGTGCAATGCAGAGAAGCCCCACTTCCTGCAGTGCAAGTGATACCCTAAACCTGCCACCAGCAAATGAAGGCACCGCAGAGGGGAGCCCTGGCAGAAGCGCTATCCTGAAGCCTGGTAGCAGCACAGGTACTGCTAACCTCACTGTCACACCTGAGGTACTGCAGGGACACATTTACTCGTGGGAGATGTTTTCCAGACTGACACCAAAGTGGACACACATCTGCTGCAGGCTGTGGTTCATTCTCCATTTCTTTAAAGAGAGCAGAAGCATCCCGAGGACTGCACAAGGAGAGGTGCCCTGGAGCTGGGGGCATTGTTAATGCAGGGGGTGGCTGTGGGATGCAGAGCTCCTAATGGTATCTGGTTATTAAATAATAGAAAGCCACTCCGCTCAGGTATCGGAGGCGGCATGCCTGGAAATTATGTGATAGAAATCAAGTGGCAGCCTGCCATCCTGCCCTGCGATTCCTGCCTCTTCCTCACATCCTGTGCCAGAATCAGTCGACGGATCCAGATCCTGATCTGATCTAGCTGTTACTGGCATGAAAATGGGAAGGGAACCATCACAAACAGTAACAGCAATATGAATATCCCTTCAGAAATTGCCTAAGCAAACAGACACAATAACATAATCCAACCAAAAATAAAAAAGTGATGCCTCTGAACAGCAGCAAGTGGAAGATAAGAACTATCCTTTTATCGAGTCCAGAGGCCTCCTGGACAGAAGAAAAAACAAGTGGAAGATCAAATGGATTGTGGGTCAAGTAAAGCACTAGGCAAAGAGGTTTGAAGCCAAACCACAGGACACATTTGTCAAGCTCTTAAAAAAATAGAAATGCAGGATCAAAGCAGAAGCACTTTGCAAATATTAACATTTGTCACCTACTTTTACTTTTGATGTACTTCATTTTGAAGACATTTCTCCCTTTTCTCTCTCTCTCACTCTTTTTCTGTTTTTTTAAACAGGATAATCTAATCTTTTGGTACACACACTTGCCTCCTTCAAAAGAAACACGGTGAAAATATTACCGAAACATGGATGACTTTAATAAGAACAGATTAAAAGAACTAACATATGGAAAACAAATAAAAATATATTAAGCAGCAGTCCAGGGAAATGCTGTTGATACGGTCGTCCAATGTTCTAATATAAAGGTTTTGGTAGTTTTCCCAGCAAAATATATGTGAAACAATAACTCTTTGTATTGCCTACTATTCAAGTGGAGGAAGAGCATTTACGCAGCACTTGAGTCAGCAACAACATCATTAAAGCAAACCATATCAGCACCAAATAGATCACATTTCTTATTGATGTGTCTGTGTTGTTTTGGAGATGTTACTCTGTTGATTAATAGAATCAAATATGGAGGAAGGAAGGAAGGAAGGAAGGAAGGAAGGAAGGAAGGAAGGAAGGAAGGAAGGAAGGAAGGAAGGAAGGAAGGAAGGAAGGAAGGAAGGAAGGAAGGAAGGAAGGAAGGAAGGAAGGAAGGAAGGAAGGAAGGAAGGAAGGAAGGAAGGAAGGAAGGAAGGAAGGAAGGAAGGAAGGAAGGAAGGAAAGAAGACTTGAAAACTTTTTGGGTTCACTTTTGTCTGTGTGTTTGCCTCTGCTACATGAACTCTGCAGCTCACGTTCTTCAGAAAACAGCAGTGAGAGAAGTCCTCACTCAATGGTGGGATGCTGCTCCTGCAAGACAGGGCAGTGGTTTGGCTTCATCCCTTCAGTCAGAAGCTTTTCATGTCTCCACCAGCACCTGGAGCAGCAGGACAGCAGAAGGAAGCAGTGCTGGAGGATCTCCAGCATGCATTGAGAGCAACCTCATCGAGAGCAACCTTCTGGATCTGCAGCACTGCAGCACCACTCCACACAGCGCAAGGTAACAACAACAATGCCTCAGGCCCAATTTAGGAAATTCGGGAATTGTCAAGTGTGGTAAATCATCTTTAAAGCAAACACTCTTGAAACGAGAGAGATAAAGCTCCTTGCCCCGCGACGAAGCCACAGGCAGGGTTTCAAAGCAGCCCGGTGGCGTTGGGTGCGATCCTGCCGCCCGCTGCCGCCAGCTCTGCTGAGACTGCTGGCACCAGGGTGACACGCCAGCAGTCGTCAACAGGGGAAGTCTGTCTGGTGCCTGCTCTTTGTTCCAGCCCCACTTTCACATTTGAGAACCCTTATGATATACTTTCTATTCACAGCAACGTTTTAGCCTGTCGCAAGTGTGGTCCCAGCGATTGTAGTTTGGCAAATACAGCAAGAACCCACACAAGCCTGAGCCCTTCAAAGTATCTTTTTTTTTTTTTTTCTTTTTGCTCAGTTTCCACTTGTTAATATTTGACTGGGTCTGTAGTTTGAACAAGTACTTCCCAAATATATTTCAGCTTTAAAAAAAAAAAAAAAAAGCCACCGAACATTTACGGTGCTCAGAGCATTTATGGCTGAAACTAGTTCTGCAGGTTCGGCCATCTGTCCCGCCTGTCCTTGCACAAGGCCGCTCTTGTAAAATGCAGGCACTTGTCTTCGTGGGGAGCCCATACTGCCCCTGGCACCACATTCAATTCCTGGATGTCTCATCAGGATGATTTCTTGGAAACACTAAGAACAAGGAAGATGCTAGGAAGACGTGGCTCAAAAAGCTTACAGCGGCAGCGGGGCGAGAGGCATTGAAGTGCAGATAGCAATATCTCAAGGGTTCCACCTGAAGCTCCACAAGGATATAGCCAAAACAAAGGACTGCCACCATCTCCACGGAAAGAGGACAATGGGGCACGTGCTCCTGATGACATTAAAGAGAACAGTGGTACCAGCTGAAACATCAGAGCTGGACCAAGGGGGTCATGACTCATATTACCAGGTGGGGTGGTTATCATTGCTAACTATTATCCCATTTTGCTGTGTGTATCACCAATTCCAGGTACTTGCTCAATTCGCATAAAAGTTCGATTTCTTACTGAGGTTCATGTGTAAAAATTAGGTAAAATTGTTTCACGCTAAGGAACATTTCAGTCTTTTCCTAAAAGCTAGCATCAAATACCATATCTGTATGAATGAGTTCTGGATATCCACAATGACCCACTGCCTTTTAGAAAAAAAAAAAAAAAAAAATATATATATATATATATATATATATATATATATATATGTATTAAAAATAAATAAATAAATAAATCTGTGGTTTAAGAACAGACTTAATGGTGGTTACAACCTAATTTTGTAAGTTGACTTTTGAGAGACGAAACCACAGGCTCACATGAGCTATGCTTTTCCCTGTTATACTAAAGGCACGGGGGTCTATCCTTGCTCTTTCCTGTTGGAGAGATGTACCTGAAACTCCACAGAAGTTGGAATAAACTCCATCAACTCCAGCAGCTGCTCTTCCAAGCACTTTGTGGTCTGTGCAATCTTTGCACAGGGGACCTGATGTAGATTTACACAAAGGCTTCTTCATTCTGCTTCTGGCAACGCAATAAATTTAAAGAGGATATCAGTGAAGGAAGTTATAACAATTGTTCTTATGTGAACCTGTTCATCTATTTTAAATCTCCTTAATCCTATGCCATGACAAGTGTGAAATCTGATAATTTTACAAGGGCAGGTTTTTTTCTTTCTTTCTTTCTTTTTCAGCCATGCATATATGTCAGACCTGAATTTTATATTTCTGTACACAAGACAGAAATCATTTATGTTGATTTTGCTTTTATACCAAGATGGGGAAACAAGCATGCAGCAATAATAACAAGGAAGCCTATTTTCCTTTGAAGAAAGACCCTTTGTTTTTAAAAAAGCCTTATGATGTGTAAATAGCTGTGTTATTAGACGTGATAGGTGTTTTTTAACATGCAACTATAGCATAATTGTGGTAACCTTCAGGAAGCCCTGAAAGGCTTTCACTTGAATGAAGAAGGGGAATCCAGGATTGATCTCAAAGCCTGTCTAATTACACAGGCTTACAGGAATTGTAATATAGGATTGAAACTGCACTGCATCACAACAATTCAACTTCCATACATGTATTTCGTTGCTTCTGACTAGAACAAGGTCACTTTAGGTGAAGCTCTGGACTTCTGTGGCAATTAAAGAAATCTGATCTTACCTGTATTTCTGGTCCCAGAGAAAAACAAGTACTGTTGATAAGGCTGAAAATTAAGAAAGTTTTCTTAATAGGTTGACTTCTATTAAATACATCATTAAGGTTAATAGCATTTATTTATGGTTCAGGATAAGTGTTTGAATCAAGTAATTGTTTTATTTTTTTTAACCAGATCTGTTTCACTATTCCATAGCAAACCTCAGAACCAAAGAAACCCCCAAAACCCAAGAACAGAAGCTAAAAGCCCTTGTTGTCCCCTCTGATTCTGTCTCAGTGATGGTGAAACCACATCTCACACTGGCTGTATCCCTGCCCCTTGCAGGCATCTTGGGTGTTGGCCTGGCTTCACTTAGCTCAGTTTTGCTTGGCCACTGAAGTAATTACTTAATTTCCACTGGTTTCTTCCTGACCTTCCCATGGTGTTACCCTTTCTGTTTTCTGGACTGCAGATGTTAATGTCACACCTCCATCACCTCTCCTCTGTTACCCTTTTTCCAGGTGTTGCTTTACCTTCACAGATGCTTATCCCAGTGTATCTTCTGACAGGGTCCTGCTAGGAAATCACAGTTGGAAATGTCTTACCATCTTGCTCCTGGAAGACACCACTTCTGGTGTAGCACATGGAAAGATCACTGCTTTCCTTGCAGTAATAACACCTTTCTAGCTTAAGCAGGTAAGCAGAGGTGACCTACAAGCTGTTGTCTGCAGGAACTGCAGTTGCTGCCCAACAGCTCCTCTTTGTAGCACTTCTTCATCCTGGAAACACAGCCATAGGGCTGCTTCAAAGTGTAAATCAGGCTCATATCTTGGATGCAACTGGTACAGTTAGAGCATGGCCTGTTTAAATCAGCTCAGAAAGTGAAAACCAAATAATGAATGAGCACAGAATATTAGCTTGGCAAAGCTCCACCACAATGATTTGTTTTCAAAAGTGCAGCTGATTTACAGATTTGTGGCCTTCATTGGTGCTCTCTAGGTTTAAAGCAAGATATTTCAACAAAAATTATAGCTGATGAGCAGTTCTGCTGATCCAGGAAATGTTCTGCGGGTGACAGGAGCCGCTTGTGGTATGTGGAAGAGCAGCGTACTCCAGCCGGTGCCGCTACATCTCTGCACAGAGCAGCCAAGAGGTGTCACTGAATTTATTGGCTTTCCACCCCCAACCCTGCCCAGGGCCCCGCAGCTGCCCCACTACCCCTATGAGTCAGGAGCGGGTTTCACTGGATTTCTGCTGATTCCCCTCTTGGCAGCCCTGCTGAGGCCACCCCTGGAGTGCTGGGTCCAGTGCTGGGCCCCCCGGTACAAGAGGGACGTGGACAGAGTTCAGCAAAGGGCCACCAAGATGATGAAGGGGCTGGAGCATCCCTCCTCCAAGGAGAGGCTGGGAGAGCTGGGACTGTTCAGCCTGAGGAAGAGGAGGCTCAAGGGGATCTGATCAGTGTGTATAAAGACCTGAAGGGAAGGGAGCAAAGAGGTCAGAGCCAGGCTCTTTCCAGTGGTGCCCAGTGCCAGGACAGGAGGCAATGGGCACAAACTGGAACACAGGAGGCTCCCTCTGAGCACCAGGCAGCACTTCTGTGCTGGGTGGGTGACACTGGCACAGGCTGCCCAGAGAGGTTATGGAGTCTCCTCCTTGAAGATCTTCAAACGTTACCTGCACAGGGTCCTGGGCACCCTGCTCTGGGGGGCCCTGCTTGATCTGGGGTTGGCCCAGATGACCTCCACAGGTCCCTTCCCGCCTCAGCCACTCTGTGGTTCTGTGAAAAAGCCACCTTTGGCCTGAGCACTCCAGCAGAGGCTCGGATGCCTCTGGGTAGCTCCCAGCTCCCCACTGCAAAACTACCCCTCGGCCATGGAGACAAGGTGCTGTCTGAATAGCTCAGGCACTGGAGCTGCACCTAAATAATTGGGAAGTGTTTCTCTTTTCAATGACTGAGGCACTCGTAGCTGATGTCAAGTAGAATATCTGATTTTCCATCCTCAGGCAGCCCCTCACATGCATTTAGGAGCTGTCTTGGACAAAAGAGATTTTTTTTCACTGTATCATGCAATGAGACAGACAACAGAAATTTAATCCCAAGGCACAACAAAGTGCCCATCAGAGATGGCATAAGCAGTACAACCCCATTAATTTCAGTGTCCTGAGCATAAGGATTTATATCCACTGTGTCAAATTTTGCAGTTGTTGTTGTTTAAAGCATAATGTAAACTCAAGAGGGTGAACTGTGTCCTCACTTTAACTCCTGTCCCATAATTAAGTCACCTGGTTTATGGATGTGATTAAGGGGGACAATCTGTCTTTTAGATGGCGTGGCATATTGGCCAGGAAAGCAATGGGGATGTTTACTAACATCTTCTTCAAACTTGAGAAATTATGAAGCAGTGGAACAGCCGATGATATTAATTTACATGTGTCTGGAAGGAGAAGCTAAAAGATTCTGCCACAATATTCTCACCACCAGAAATATCAACAGTCAAGGAACAATTCTCAGGATGGCGGGAGAGGCTTTAAGAAGAAAAGCTTTGGTAGACTGGAAAGTGGAAGGGGACCCACTTGAATTACAGGGAAAGGACTTGGCTGTGAGATGGTATAGTCAGAAATGCAAATGTTTTAGCCCCCAGACTTAATGGCATAAGTGTTTCTAAGTGGTATCATGATACATTGTGCATCAGCTGCTGGACCTCTGTACCATGTGGATTTTGGTGATGTAAAACCAGCAGCATGTGGGGCATCCTCTCTAATTCAGTGGTATGGAGAGGAAAGATGGGTGTTGTAGACAGCCCCATCCTGTATCCAATGCCAGGACATCCTGCTGGATCGACAGAAGCCAGGAACCCTTGGGTGTAGCTGGGAAATGTGGCCCTCACCAGTCCACAGAAGCAAACAGGGCTGAGGCCTCCCCGCCACTAGGCCCCAGCCTACAATGCCTCTCTGGCTCACTTTTAAAGTTTTTTTTCTTAGTATTTTTGTTTAACATTTTATGTTTGGGCTTTTTTGATTCACTTTCTAGCCCTAGCCTGCTTCATGCTGCAAATTGTTCCTCTTTATGCCACCTCCATGACTTGTTTTTTTCTCACAAACAAAAAAAAAAAAAAATATTTTTAAAAAAAGAAAAAAGAAAAAACTGGAGGGGTGGATAAATACAAACCAAAAGGACAAGAACATAGGAGAAAATAGTGCTTTTTAATGTAAAATTTGATTAACACAGGAAAATGTTGAGAGAGTATCAGACATTTCTCCAACAAATTTCTTCTTCCAAAGATGAGTTCTAAAATTTATTCTCTTTATTTTCATCTACATATTTTCAGCTTAGCTATTTCTTCTTTGCAAGTAGCCATGCAGATGCTTAGCAGCTCCTGAGGGCATGTGAAACCCAACTCACCCCTTAAACTCCTCAGAGAGACAGAACTCAGCAATGCAAAGTATGAGATGATTACTTATTATATTCACATGCTATCATGTAATTAAAACTTTATCTGAAGAAGAGAGAGGGGAAACCACAGAGTTGATTTCATGTGGCTATCAGTGAAAATTTTTAATTGCCGTTATGTCCGCTTACATTTTTTCATAAATAGTTCTAGGGTACATTAAGGGAAATCTCATCACTGTGATGTGCCATTCACAGCATGGTGTGGGGTTAGGTGCTTTTTTTTTCTTTCTCTTTTTTTTTTTTTTTTCCAAGTGTTTCACATTTTTCCAATAGATGTGGGCAAAGTTTTGTGTAATTTTCCAGTGACCTTGATTATGCAATTCTGTGTGGCTGCTGCCCCAGGCGACATCAAAGATGCCACTCTTGTTATCAGGTCGTGGGCAGCCCCAGGGTGCTAGGGACACCCCGAGGGCACCTGGCTATGCCAGGGGCAGATGGCCCTCCATCCTGCCTTGATTGATGAGCTTGTCCTAGGGAAACTCTTATTGCTCCTACTCCACTTTTCTTTTTTTTTTTTTTTTTTTTAAGCAGGTAACAGAGCTGGCAGGCGTAAAACTCACAGAGGCATCATCAGACAGGTGATCATACCCCAAAAACTCAAGGTACTTACACCCCCCTCCAAACAGAGAGAGGGTGGTTCCAACCCAGCTTATCACATGCTTGCCTACAAACAGGGGCTCTAACCCCACTGAAGTCAAAGGGTTAAACTGGGCCTCCTTTGAAGTCCGCAGTGCAAACCTTCATCCCAACCCGGCCCGTTCCTCCCCCCAGCACTAAGTACTTTGATGAATCAGCGCTGAAGCACCTAAACGAGGTGCAAAGCAACATCTCCTCCCTAGCATGGCAGGCCCAACCCTCATGAGGGATGATGGAGCTCTGGACAGGGCATGGCCCTTCCACGCTTGCTCCTAGGGCCCATCACGGATAGCAGGGGGAAATCCCACACGTGTTAAGCCCCCGCTCCTCTCCACAGCCTGGCCACCATCACACAGCTACGGGTGACGACCCTGCAGAGGCCTTCAGAAGGAAGCAGCATGAGTCACTGGTCTTGCCCAATAAACTCGCCAACCTCACTGTCAGCGATGGGTTACAGGAACAGGAGAAACCAACAGCAGATCAGAAGTGTGAAAATGCTGCTAATGCTGCAAAAAAAAAAAAAAAAACAAAAAAAAAAAACACCTCCCATCACAGATGGATCCTTTTTAAATGTTGCCATAATTTAAACCTCACCCCCCCAAAAGATGAAAGTCACCTACACCCAGTGTTTCAGATGGTTCAGTGTTAGATATTTTTGGGGTAGGGCCCGGAAAACCAACCTATAAGAGGTTTCTCCCTACTCCTCTTTGAGAACTCCTCTCCATTTCTTGTTCCTTTTTTGCACAATTTATTTTCCCTGCAGGCCTCGGAGGAAGGTTTGAGCAACCAGGTGATCTGTCTCCTAAGTGCTTGGTGTGATGAAGCAGAGAGGAATGGAAATCACCCACTCATCCTGGGTTTTCACAATTGCTTTGCTTTGCATCATGTTTCCTGCTATACTAGTAAAGAAGCATCCTTTTATTTATTTTTTTTTTAATTATTTTAAGCAGAAAATTGAGTGAAAAATAAGAAGGAAGAAAAAAAAAAAAAAAAAAGAAAAGATAAGCTGTGGTCAATCAAGCCCCAGCTCTCTTGTCTCCAGTTTGTGATATGTTTTATGATCTCAGACACAACAGATTGTGAGCCTGCAATGTTTGGAAATGGTAGATGATTAAACCTTCTGGCCAGGTGTAAATGCAACCTTTGTCTTCTGCTCACTGTGTGAGAATCACCTTCCTTCTCAAAGTCCCCGGCTGGCCCTGCTCTCATCAGTGTTACAAACATCCCCTGCCTGGAGTCACAGCCACCATGCACTTCCACTTTATTTCTAATCTATAAATGCACCAGTGCAATCCATACCACTTGAATTTTCCCAAGTTACAGAAACAAAAAATAAATAAATAAAAATTGCCAAGCAAGCTACTAAAATTTTGAAAGAATGTGGCCCGTGAGTTTTTCTGCTTCTTCTGTTGGGGGGATTTTGTACCAGGTAAATAATAAAAAATGTGTAATGATTGACTAGGCTTTTAAACCTGAACTGAAGGTAAGTTTGTCTTGCTGTTCCAGTTAAATATTCTCACTAGCCCCCTTCTCTTTCTCCAGTTTATCATGCCACAAAGTCCCTTTCAGCCTGATTCATTCTTTATTCTTTAGAAATTTGGGCAACAGTCAAATCTGACCTTTAGAGCCATAAACAAATTAAATTGTTTCACAACCAAATAATACGAAACAATATTGAATAGCTCGGCTTCCGCCGAGTTTCCTCTTAAAGAGAAAGAAGCCCCAGAACAGCACGACACCGAAAAATGGAAGATAGAGAGATGGAGCACGAGTGATGGGGAAATACTGGAGCACAAGTGGTGTTCCTAGAAGTGATGGGGAACCACAGGGGCCTGGCTCCGGACTGGCAGACACCAGCACTTGGGAAGATGTTGTCAGAAGCCTTAATTTACCTAATTATTTACTCTGCTGGGAGCAGGGTGCTCCCCCAGGGGCATGTCCCACTGCAAGCTTGTTGCTGCAGAGACCTCAGGCACTGGCAGCTGTGGTGGTTCAAGGAGAAACCCAATGGTGGCCGATGTGTCCTCGGTGCCACCAGGCTGGAACTATGCCTCCTCTTCCCTCTGTTTGCCTGAACTTTGGCTGCACGCAGGGCGGCCACCCTGTGCAGGCAGCACCCACTGCCACACGGTCCCCCTGACACAGGCGAGGGGCAGGGCTGTGTCACCCGCTTTCGACACGGCGGGGACATCCTTGGCAGCCTTGCCATGCCCGTCCCCTGTGCCTGGGATGGGGCCTGGGAGTCAGCTGCTGGCCCTGGGGACAGCGGGGTGCTGTAGGGCTCGGCACATCTGCGGCGCACTGCTGGAATGCGAAGCATCTGGGGCAGATGCGGAGGCTCGATAAGGCTCCTCGTTGTCCTTAAAAACGTTGTGGAGCGCCAGCTGGGGATTCCCCTGGCAAAGGTGGATTCCCTGCCTGGCACCAGGCTGATCCCAGGCGCTGGGGCCACCACAAGCAGCCCAGCCCTGGCCCCCAGGGAGATGCCCTGTGGTCCCCTCTGCAGTGGGTGGCAGGGTTGTTCACCCTGTCCCCTTCACAAGGGGAGAGCTTGGCTGGGCACAGACAGGGAGGAACAAGCACAGGCTGGGCATCGGAGACATGTACTGCCTCTGTGCTATCTGCATTTTGGCAGCAATACTCTGAGAATTATATACTCACTTATATAATATACATAATATATAATATATAATATTTTTTAATATAACAGCCATGATTAATTCTTTTCAGACACATGGTTTGTACACAGGCGACAATATGCTTACATGAGGCACAGGGACAGCTTGCTTTGCTGATGCTTGTCACCTAGACTAACATCTCAGCTACACACATGCTGATAATCACTGCTGTTACAGCCACTGACAGGAAAAGCCTTTAATTATAAGCAGCTTTGTACAAAGCTGAGGCACGAAGAGCATTTGGCTGCTTTAATTAACCTTAAGAATTATGAAGCCATGCCTGCAACTGAAATATAGTTTTGCCTTTTGTAAACCATTTGACACAAGAATTATGAGGCCAAGAATTAGATGTAGGAACACATCCAAATATTTATACTACGCTCATTACTCTGGTATCTGAGCGCGTGTTTACCCTGTAACCTCCACTTCTACATCCGTTAATTTCACTTCGCTGCACAGCCCGTGTTACCCACCCATCGCACGGTGCCACTGCCTCCCTGCTGCAGGGACTGCCCTACCTCACCCAGTGCTCGTCCAAGTCACTGAATGCCACTGGCTTCGGAGGCACGGAGAGGAGCAGATGTCCTTGCAGTTGCCACAATGACGCCACTAGTGGTTAAAGAGGGTTTGGGCAGGAGCATAGACTCCCACAACCAGGACGTATTTAATTACTGGGATGATTCGGATAAAAGCTCTTTCTCTGGGTATTATACTTGCCACGTGCTCAGCACAAAACTTGCTGCAGCTTCTCCTCTAGCAGGCAGTTCTCCTTGCTTCAAAACCAGGAGGCTGCGTGCAGCAGATCTCTGCTCTACGCCGGGATGTTGCAGCGCCCCGATGGACTATACCCCCTCACTTTGCCTTGCAAAGTCCTCCAGCAAAGAGCTCCAGCCCCAGCATTTTATTATGGCAAGAAAACAGGGCAGCAGAGCTCCGGTAGCTGCTGTCATCAAAATGCTAACAGAAACTCAGGCTAAGTGTACTAAATGTTTCACCATTAGCAAAGCCAACGTGATGTATTTTTTTCTGAAGACTGGGGGAGGGAGGAAGCTGTCAGCAATGACACCGAGATAGATGCAAAGCTGTGAAAATGACTTTAAATAAAGTTTTAGAAGTCTTTTGACAAAATAAAATATACACCTATTTTAATCGAATGTTTTGCTCAATCTTTAATGAATCTTTTCATTTGAAGTACGTTAGCTGATGGAGTGAAAAAGAAGCAGAATTTGGAAAAATAAAAATTAAAGCCAACAAGCTTAATTTTGAAAAGTTCAAAGCGAAATATGGTGTACCTTGGAATTTTCTTCCTAAATTATGTTCTAGTAAATCACTTGTCTATCCGGACTGTCCCACATAACTCTACATTTGTTCTAGCAAAAACCAGTGTTAGCAATTACACACACACACAAGAATTTACCTTTTTCTCATGCCTATGAATGATCAGAATTGCAAGCACCCCAGGCAGAGATTTTCAGCAAATGGCATTTTGTAGCTTTCAGATTAGGAAGCAAAACAATTTGAGAGGGTACTTCCAATTCCTTGTATCAGACCACACAACCCATGCCCAGAAGATGCCTGTTGAGGTCAGCACTTCACGGAGGCACTCCAAATGGGCACCTCCCCTTCTGCCTTTCCTGCCTCTCTCTTCTGCCACCCCAAGTCTTGAACTGGCTCGACACCAGCATTTAACATCGCCACCTTGCCTCTGCGTTAATACCGAAAGGTTTTGTCGTTTCTGTGGATGCATTTCTTTTTTTCCCCACACCCGTTTCACCTTCCTTGAAGAAGCAGTGTGGCTTTCAAGGGACATTTCATGACTGCCAGCCAGATGGAGAGGAGGAGCACCATCCCACCCTCACCTGCCTGTCTCTTGGCAAGCAGGCAGGAGATGTTGGCCACCACCAAGAGAAGCTGGGAGAGCCCGCTGAGGTGGGAAGGGAGATGCTGCCCCAGCACATGGGGCCTGTGGCCACCAAGAGAGCCCAGCACGAGGAGCTGGGGCCAGTCCCACATTTGCACGCCCATCCCTATGGGGACAGCTCCTGTCCCCCCATCTAAGAGCAACTCAGGTTACAGGCACTCAGCTTCATCTGTGCTGTTGCTGTTTCATCCACCTGTTATCTTCTGCTGTTCTTCAGAAATTACTGCCAAATTATGCTCTTTTTTTTTTTTTTTTTCTTCCTCCATTATTAATATCTTTTCTAGGGTGGATAGCTTCCCAGATCACCCTCCACCCACTTACACACATGCATGCACATACACTTTATAGAAAGTGTTTACTTATGCGGGGGCAATAGTTTAAAAGGTAAATGAAATAGAGGACGCAGCCTGGATTGGCTTAGCAACACAAACAGTGCCAGCAGGTAAAGGGCCCGGGCCTGTTCTTTCCCACCTCAGAATTGTTTTAAAATGACACCCCTTCATAATTAATTGTACAGCACCTGATTAGTCACTATTGACAGACCCAGAGCCAATTGACTCTTTTTTTTTTTTTTTTTAATCTGGCTGGGGAGAAAATATGAAGTGCCTGTAGCGACACACACACACGCTGCAGCTCCTGGTGATTACATCAGGCAGCTGAGCAATTAGAGCCCCGAGTATCAGCGCTCGGGCTGGAGGCAGCGGTGGCAGGATCACAGCCCCGCGTCAGCCTTTAATATGAAAATGAAGAAGGGAAGCAGCAAATCCAATAAACCGGAGAAGTCAAACAAAGCCAACTGGGAGTTCGTTTGTTGATAAGCGGAGGGAAGAAACGCGGCTGATAAAGCTGGGTGCTTCTGCAACTCCCGTCTCTCCCGTGGGTGAGGAGGATTAAATTACTCAGGAGGCAGCCTGAATACACCCAAGCAGGAAAACAACCCCAAAGGCAAAAATAAATAAATAAATAAATAAAAGAGTGTGTATTTCGTTTGCAGCGGGGCAGAACGGGTGCGTTTCTACCCCCTTTCCACTTCCAGGCATCTGCGGGTTCTTTGCAAAGCAAATGAGTTTGCTCCCTGACAGGGCAAGGACACACGGGAGTGGACCAGCCGCTTTTGCTCACCTTGGTCTGAAATTGTGTTATCGTGCTGAAAGTTTGGAAAGAACAAAGTCAGCCTCCACTACCAAGAAGGCAGTTTCCCACTCACTTCGCAAGGTCCTTCCTCTCAAGCTCCCCCAGACGCAGGGACTTCATGCGCCTCAGCACAGTACCAGTTTAACTCACCCGTTGTACAACCCAGTAAAGCTAAGTCCTGCCACTGTGCAAACACTTTACTCTCAAAGAAGAGGATCTGTACAAGACCTTAGCCAACTTCTGAGTACTTCTGTGTAAGGTATTAAGCCAATATTGGTGCCTACATAGGAGCTTGCACCGATTTGAGTTAATCAGTTTAAACCCGTACCTTTAGATAAATACTTGTGTGCAGGCAGACAATGACTTAGGATTTGACTGAAAGCTCAATGAATACAATGTGAATGGATGTGTAGTCTGAATAAATACACACATAAATAAATAAGGAGCCACTTAATTAAGGTTCTGCGGCCATTCTCCTCCCAGAGGAGGCACTGTGCTCAGAAAACCCCAGAGCTAAGTCTGAAGTGGATTACACAGCTTTGGCAGAGAATCTGCTGCTCTGGAAGATGAGGAGCTCATTAGGAACATGTTACGGTAGAAAATATTCCCTCCGTGGAAAGGCCCCCACACATCTAGACTACTTTAAGCAAGGTGATTTTTCCCTGAAGGAGTGCCTGCAGAGCAAAGATCCTCCTCTTGACTGACATGAACCATCTTGGCTATAGGAAGAGTCCAAGCCACGCTGGGTCCAAGGTGACAAGCCCTTCTAAACGTGCCTAGCTCTGGACTGGGCTGGTACACATGCTCCAGACATGTCCTGAGGTACTTTCTCAGTTAATATATTAAACAACAGTACAAAACGCAGCATATGGTTTATAGAAATTGCACCAGTTGAAAAAGCACCAACTCACAGATATTTATAGTTACACATTAGGGTCCAGATCTCTGTGGGAGCACATAAATACTGCACCAGTTGATATCCACACAGTCCATGGCCAAATCCTGGGATCAGGAACATATCTGTCCTCCTGCACTTGTTCACAGCTGCCCTATAGAGAATCAACATTTATGACTCAAAAGAATGCTGCAAGGACTTGGAAAAAAAAAAAAAAAAAGAGCCACACCTTTGCTTTTAACTGGAATCAAAACTGTTTTGTTTCTGGAAAACCATTATTAGCCTCAAACATTTTTTGTTTACAGGAACTGTGTCACGGGCTCTATGGCAAAACACAATTTTCTCAAGAAACACTCTGTAATTGCCACTTAACTCAAATCCCTAAATATCTGCAGAATAAGGGCCTAATCAGAGGCAATGAATCCCAAGAAAAATAAAAGATTAGACAACAGCAAGACTACAGGATGAAGCAGTGTATTGGGATTACAGTGGCATGGCAACTTGGCTTCAGAGGAGGATGCACAATTCTCACTTCAGTTCTGACATTTTCTTTGGCTTTGTTTTTAGGCCACGTGTTACATTTTAGTCTTGCTTTGCCTCTTATTTTTCAGGCAGGGGTCTTACACTTTTCTTCATTCCCGTTCTCTAATTCCATTCCAGAGCTTCTGCAAAGAGCAGCTTTTCTGCATTTTCCATTCCAGAAACCTATTACAGGATCTGCTCCTACAGACGATATTGTAACCATCAGTCATTTCTTGTATTTTATCCTGCACCTGCTGAAACAAAGCATGGAGCTGCTGCTCCAGTAAAGAATACATACTTCTGGATCACAGCTGTAGCCCAGCTAAGTCTTAAATCTTCAGCAGCAAACCACCCTCACCACCATCCTCCTGAACCCAGTAGCTACCTGGAGTGCCTGGTCTGTGACAGGTGACTTTTGATAACAGAACAGAGATTGTTGCAGTGGAAGAAGAAGGGTAGGGTAGTCTTTGACGGGGTTCAGTCCCCAGGTTTTGTTAAAAAAGCAGAGGTCTGGACTACTGAAGTACTTCACCTCAAGTATTCTCTATTGCATGTCTCCAGAAACTTAACTTCACATGCAGGCCTTATCCTCCTGGTTTGCATTTCCCTGGCCTATTGCTCAGCTACAGCCAATCTTCTTTCCCTCCCCATCTGCATGCAGAGAGACTTTTCCCTCTGACTCCAGCAACCTTCCCTTTTGCAAGACCCATCTGCACACAGCTGTGCTAACAGGCCTCCCCAGGGCCCTGCCCAGTCCCCAGCTGCCTGGTGTCAGGAGGTTAAACCCAGCACGTGCAGGCACGACCTTCTTCTGGCCATGCTTGTCACCTCTCCCTCCATCCCACTCTGTTTCCTGCTCATGTCCTCATGATGTTCCCACAAGAGCTGAACCCGCTCCCTCAGGACCTCCAGTGTTCCCCATTTCCAGTCAGGCTGCCTTTCTTCTCACCTCTTCTATATTCTGGTTGCAGGACTGGGCCACGTAGGCAAGGAAAGCCAAGTTCTTGCAGCCCGAGGCACCAGTTTGGGACCAGCTTAGATACTGGTGCTGTGCAGGGAAGCATCACAAATGGATGGTTGCATGGGATTAATCCTGCTCAGGCCACACGTTCCTGTAGGCTCTGGATGACAGCCAGCTCCACATCATTACAGCTTCTGAACAGGAGGAAGAGCCTCCTCTGGGGCAAGATACAGCCTGCAAAACCTCATTAAGTGTTCACAGGTGAGATAATCAGTAGTGGGTTATATGACTAATGTTATCTTTAGCAGGACATCCTCCTTGCTGCACTGCTTTCCGGCAAGTGTCTGGAGAAGATGCCAAGAGGCTGAAGATCTGAAAACCACTGTCAGAGGAGGGGATAAAACAAACAAACAAACAAACAAAAAAAACAAACAAGAGACAAGGTCTTCCAGGAGCAGTGCCTGTTGCTCCAGATCGCATGTGGGTGTTGGGAAAGCTGAGACCGACGTCTCAGGCGCTGGGGTGGGAGTCTGGAAACTCAGGTCCTGTCCCTCACCTCTTTATCTGACCTGCCATGAGGATCTCACATGAGCTCATCTGGCTGTACCCTATGGTATCTAAGTAATAAGCATCCTAGAGGCCAGCAGAACCCCACATCTCAACATGCTGCAGCAGCATGACTGATCCTAACAGGAGGAGGGGTGAGAGGCTGTGAAGTCATGCTTCCCCGGGTCCTGGGCAGCTGTAATCCATTACAGACAACATTGTAATAAATGCTGATAATCCTTTGTTGGTGGGGAAGAAATGTTTGGGGGTGGACAGGCAGTATGCTCAGGCTGAGAGCTTCAAGCCAAAGGCTGAGGAGGTGCTGGCGAACCTGGAAGGCCAGAGCACGGGGGACACCTTTCAAATCTTCATGGGAGTCCCACCTTGGTCATCAGCAAAGACCTACCAGTGAGATTGTTCTCCTGGGGTCTTTTATCCCTGACACTCTTATGCTTGCTCCAGATGTATTTTTCTGGCTTCTGAGCTTAGTGGAGCATGAGGAGGAGAGAAATGGAGGCGTTTAGGAGAAGCTGCACAACACAACCAGAAGCATTTTATTGGCCTCCGCCAGTCGCAGCACTGCATGGGCAACCATTGGCTTCCAGTATACCCATAGCCTTGATCCCAAATATCTCAAGTCTGCTCTGTTACCTGTCTGCATTGTAAAATACAAACAGAATTTTGTGCTTTGTCCATTTTGGTGTCTGCTGCAATACACCCTGAGAGCCAGACCTGGTCAGCCTTGGAGCAACCAACAGCCCTTCGCATCAGTGTGGAAATGTGAAAGAGATGTGCCTGTACCCAGATCTGGAGATATGCACCAACCATAGGCTTATCTAGGGGATATTCCAGGTGTAACAGCTCTGACAGACCTGGATCACTGTTATTTCTCATTAATGGTGTTTAGAAAATATTATTTCTATTCTGCAGATCATTTTACCATTAGAAGTGTTTGCACCATTTCGACACCAAAGTAAAAACCTGAATTGTTATTTTAAATCTCAGAATGGATATTATGGAGGGCTTTGCTGGGACAATTCCAGGAAACTTCTCTTTGCCAAAGGCAATGCAAGAGTTAAGCAGAACCTACAGCTACTTGGAGCAAAAGGCTGAAATAGCAGATTTCAACTTCAGCCTCCACATGAAATGCAGACATAATGATTTGTTTCAACATATCCATTGCCACCAGGACTGGAAATTTTCCATGCAATGTTTAGAATTTTCAAAGGGAAAAATTGTTCCACCCAGGCTTTACTATATCCTGCAGTTACGCCAGGCGTCACCGTGTTTGTTAGCTGTTGCTGGTTTGCGTATTTCTTATTCTTCTCATTTTCCGCTGCATGTGGGCATCAGTCCACAGGTACTAACACCCCAGGAGCACAGCCCAGAGACAGATCACTTAAAAGATTTAGTAATCTGTGAGTAAACAATCTCTGTCTAAGAGAAGCCACAAGTTTTGTTGCAGTCCTGCAGCTCTGACTGGTGAGAACATCATTATTCCAGATGACTGCTCAGCCCTGCCATCTTTTGCTCATTTTACAGTCCATATTTGAGCAGGGTTTTCTTCGAACTAGGGAGTGATACCTGAATGATACCTGCATGTTGGCAGTATTTGCTGTTTACTGTTTGCGGTGTCGCCTTCTTTTGTCTTCAAGCAACTGAGCAAAGACACAGGAACTGCGCCACGAGACTGTGGCAACGCGCCACAAGCTGTCTGTGATAAATGTTCCATCAGATAAGCAGCACGTTGATCTAAGAACCTGTCAAAAAAAGAGAAACTTTGCTAGATAATATACTTCCAAGGAAAATCCAAGCTGCTCAAAACTTTGGCAATCTGTTTCCAGCAGAAGTCAAGACTCAGCATTTAAAGAAAGAAGGCTGAGAAAAATAAAACTGTAATGCACCTGCAGAACTGTGCTTTCTTGTGATGGGAAACAGCTCTTCCTCTGCCCCCACTGCTTCTGGTATGTTGCTCATGGTGTTATGGGGTCCCACCAAGTAGGGGCAGGGAGCTGCTTGTAGTGGAGACAGCCCTGGTGGGTTACTGGTTCTTGGTCAGGGTGTCCACACCTCCAAAAGCACCAAAAACTTGGAGGCTGTGCAGGAAATTACAGATCAAAGGCATCATCTCAGCATTCAGCTTTTTAAATGGAGGCTGAGGTGGCTTGATGGTGGTACAAATTCATTCACAAGCAGACGATGTCACGTAGCTAAAGCCTCCTGGTTTTGGCAGAGAAAGCCACAATAAGAATAGCTGGAAGTTGAAGACAGATTACAAAATTCTTTGTGAGAACTCAGAACGGTATTTTTACCAGTGAGGATGAAGAGCATGCCAGCCAAGGGCCGCAGCCTTGCTGGCAGGTGTGTTTCAGCCAAAAGCAAGCTGCCTTTGATACCGATACAGGGATGAAGTCCAGGGGGGAGCTGTGAGGTTGGTGTTAGGCAGGAGTCCCACAGCGCTGCCCTACCAGCCCCTCCCAACTGCTCACAAGTAACATGGGAAGGACTAAAACTACTAACGTTTGTGTTTCACTGCTGCTGCCAGGAGCCCCCTCTTACACATTTTTTTTTTCAATTTTCATCTTTAGCAATCCTTTGTATTCCTGCAGGAAAAGCCTTGGAATTGCATAAGCATCTTTATCCACTTACCTCAGTGTGCATATAATTTTTCACAGCCTGGACCACCCCCATCCAATTGCTGTGCCCTCAGCTCTCCCAGATCATCAGATTTCCAGATGCTAAACACGAATCACTAAGGGGGAGGGGAGAGGGGGGGATGCACACAACCACCAGAAGCAGATCCTATACATCCTATTTTATGTCATGACAAATGATTTGCCATTAATGAATTTCACCAGGACTAGTGGGTGGTGGTCACAGGTGTTTTTCGGAAATCCCACTGGCAGCTGTTTGAGGTATGGCAGCCACGAGATGCTAGCAGAGGTGTGTGCATTGGCCAGTCCTGAGAAGGGATTGTCCAAAAGGCAGAGACGCAACCAGATGCAAGAGACAGAGGGGTGTGGGACCAGCTGAGGCTGGCATCGCTTGAATAAATCCAAGCTGTACATAGGAATTGTTGATTCAGGGCACTTGACCCTCCTATCTTCTTTTCTTTTATAATGCATCCTCACTCCTACCATGCCTTGTCATCTGTTCTTCCCCAGTTCTACCCATCCCTAGTTCCCCATCCCATCCCTGGCTTATTCCTTCAACAAAGCACACCTCTGGCCCTGCCTTTCCCCAGAGCGAGATGCGGCCACATCCCGGTGTGTCCAGTAGCACCGTGGATGGCACCAGGCCACCCCAGCAGGGTGTCCTGTGGCCCGTCAGCTCGTTCCTTCAGCCCCTCTGCCCAGCCAAGCCAAGAAACGTCTTCCCGGCGAGACAGCCCATATTATGACTAAGGCAGAAGGCCACAGGTTTAGTCAGTTTGTGTACAGTTTGCAGTTATTCAGCTGTTTTAATGAGAAGAAAGACCTTCAGGCCCGTGATGTCAGAGATAAGAAAGTGTGGAAAGCAGCAGATGTGTGACCTTGCCGCTCTGCTATTGCTTTCTCCTTTGTTCTGGGTGCTGCAGCTCTTCAAGGTTTTAATACCAGGGAGGGGTGAGGGGAAGGTGAGGTGCAGGTTTCGTGGTAACTCAAAATCCTGGCTTGTGGAGCAACCTGCTGGCCTTTAGTTCAAGCCACTAATGGTAACCGAAATCCAGCAGCTGCTCGGCAGTCGGGATCTCGCAGGCTGCAGCACTCTCCGGTAGCTGGATCGTTGTTCACTTTGGTAAACTAGAATAATGTTTCCCATTATTAGGTGTTTTCCTGGACACAAAAGTTTTCCAAAAGAAAAAATTTCAGTCTAGAGCCTTTTAGTTATAAAATAACATCTCCAAGCAGGTGAACTCGGTTGAAAGAAACATTTCTGTTTGATGTGAATTTGTGCCCTTTGGCCTAGCCAGGAGAGCTGCACTGCAAGAGCCAGCAACAGGCACAGGTACCTAAATAAAGCCTTAAAGGTCCCAGAGGCACAAAAGTACGAAAGTTGGGAGCCCCACTTCTCTGCCCAGATGCCACCAAGCCCTTCAGCCACCTGGGATGTACCAAGCTGAGTGGCAAAACATCTAAACTCTATGGGGTTTTGTGCCAAGGTGTCCTTCCAGCCATCTTGCCTGGAGTTAGAGTTGGTGCTGTCTCACATATCTTTAAGCAAAACAGGAAAACACAATTTCAGTGCAAAACTGGTTGGATAACTCAGTCCACGAAGCAGTTGGTGGAGGTTCATTGTCATGGGGAGAGTCACTAAGGACATGGGGCCACTGCCCAACTTTCCCTGTGTCTCCTTTGCCACAGCAAGAGGCAACTTAGTCTGTGGCCACAAACCTGGCAGAAACGGGTATTTGGGACACAGGATAAGAATAAATAAATAATAAAAATAAAAAGAAGAAGCAGAAAAGAAAGGAAAAAAGAGACATTGTTTCATCGAATTACAGAAGTGATGTGAAGAAACTCAGTGGGGAGCTGTGTAAGAATTTACAATTAGGCAGGAATAATCAGCTGAACAAATACCAGGTGGAAATGGCCGTTTAGACATCAGTTCTGTATAAATGGCTGAGTCACACTACTAGCAAAAACAAAAACAAAAAAGCAAAAGATTACAAAAAATGTTGGAAGAAAAAAAGGTCATCATTGCTCATACAACAGAATAATTTTTCCTTTTGTTCAGAGCAGTCCTGCTATGGCTGCTGATGCGGTGTCCAGTTTGGGGCAATGCATTTCAGGAGAGAGCTGGACTCCTTGGAGAGACCACGGGAATAAACAGAGGTCTGGGGAATGTGACCCGCTAAGGCAGGCAGAAAAAACAGTTTAGGTCAAAAAGATTGGTGAGGACATGGTAATGATCTTCAGCTACATAAGACAGCTCTCAGATGAAGAGGGAAATAAGTCAGCTCCCCTGTTCATAATGGCCAGGGAAGAAAACATTTATGTTGGTAAGGGGGAGTCCTTAACAGGAGTGTAAGGACATCTTTCAGATATGGTGCATGCACAGTTGGTCACTTCTTGGGCAAGGAAATGTTTTGTGGAGGCCTCTTCCAACCCTCTTGTCTTTTTCTGTGCCTACAGGCACAGAAACCCCCTGCCACATGCATGCACACACGCCATCAGCCACCCAGCACCAAATAACCATCCTCACCACCACAGCTCCCCTTGAAATTATTCCATTTTTCAGAGCAGTGACAGAGCCATTTGTCCAGAGGCAGGGATTACGCTTGTCTGGCCCATCCTGGTGGTCTGGTCGGAGCAGTGTGGATTGGAAAAGGTCGGCACAGCTGCTGGCCCCAGCACAGCCGGCCACCTACTCTCCCCGGAGCATCGATAGAGAAGATAGGCCTATTTGAAGACTATTTAGAGCATCTGTGTTACCCCTGAAAATATTTCCTGAGGGAGTTTTAGCCAGGGTGATCAGGAAGCTAGATAAGCTGACTGGGTTCATAAGCTTCACCTCATGGTTCATAAGGTTCATCCCCAAAATGCCCTGCTTAGCAAAAGCAG